CTTCGTCTTTTTTTTTTGTTCGTCAAAATATTTCGCAAGTTGGTAGATCTTGGTCCTCCCTCTCTCTCTCTCCTCCTTCGTCTTTTTTTTTTTTTTCTGGCAGAATATTTCGCAAGTTGTTAGATCTTGCTCCTCCCTCTCTCTCCTCCTCCTCCTTCGTCTTTTTTTTTATTATCTCGTCGAAATATTTCGCAAGGGTGTAGATCTTGCTCCTCCCTCTCTCTCCTCCTCCTCCTTCTTCCTCCTCCTACTCCTCCTCCCTCCCTCCTCCTCCCTCCTCCTCTCTCTCCTCCTCTCTCCTCCTCCTCCTCCTCCTCCTTCGTCCTCCTCCTCCTCCTCCTTTCTCCTCCTCATTCTCTCTCCTCCTCCTCTCTCCTCCTCCTTCTCTCTCCTCCTCCTCTCTCCTCCTCCTCCTTCGTCAATTTATTTTTTTTAGGGTTTCGAAATTCGAAAGTTTGCAGATCCTCATCATCCTCCTCCTCCTCCTTCGTCCTCATCCTCCATCCTCCTCCTCCTCCTCCTCCTCCTCATCATTCTCTTTCCTCCTCCTCTCTCCTCCTCCTTCTCTCTCCTCCTCCTCTCTCCTCCTTCGTCTTTTTTTTTTTTTTTTGCAAAATATTTCGCAAGTTGTTAGATCTTGCTCCTCCCTCTCTCTCCTCCTCCTCCTTCGGCTTTATTTTTTTTCGGCAAAATATTTCGGCCACAATTTTATTTTTTTTTGGGCAAAATATTTCGGCCACAATTTATTTTTTTTCGGCAAAATATTTCGGCCTTCGTCTTTTTTTTTTTTCAGCAAAATATTTCGGCCACAATTATTTTTTTTTTAGGGTTTCGAAATTCGAAAGTTTGCAGATCCTCATCCTCCTCCTCCTCCTCCTTCGTCCTCATCCTCCATCATCCTCATCCTCCTCCTCCTCCTCCTCCTCCTCCTCCTCTCTCCTCTCTCCTCCTCCATCATCCTCATCGAACAAATTCGATAGTTTGTAGATCCTCCTCCTCCTCCTCCATCATCCTCATCCTCCTCCTCCTCCTCCTCCTCCTCTCTCCTCTCTCCTCCTCATTCTCTGTCCTCCTCCTCTCTCCTCCTCCTTCTCTCTCCTCCTCCTCTCTCCTCCTTCGTCTTTTTTTTTTTTTTTTCGCAAAATATTTCGCAAGTTGTTAGATCTTGCTCCTCCCTCTCTCTCCTCCTCCYCCYTCSGCTTTTTTTTTTTTTTTTTTCCAATGTCACATAAGGCTCACAGGTGTTGTCACCGTTTTTTACGCTGTGTGCAGTTCATTATGGCGTACTTGAAGCAGTTGCATGAAGACTTGAAGAAGCACTTCATCAACGAGGGTGCCGCGGGGTCAAACCCAGGCAAGGGTTCCAAGCACTGGGTCTGCAAGAACTGCGAGACCCGGTTCGATGGCACAGCCTCGGTTCTGAAGACCCATTTCATGAATAAGTGCAGCTTGGACCTCGTCAGGAGGCTGCTGTCAGTGGAGGAGAGGGCTAGGAGGGAGGAGGGCATCCGCATGGGGAAGTTCATTGCGGAGACCATACACGCGGAGGGGAGAAGCAGGCCGGCCATAAACAGCCTGGCGTTCGTTAGTAGTCTGGTCGCTGACGCCGAGCGAGGTCGAACTGACTCGCCTGCAGGGGCGGGAGAGGCGGTTGTGGCCGATGAACCCGACGCGATCGCGCCTACCTCTGGCGAGTCCGTGCAGCCTGCACCCCGTTCCAGACGGCCGCTGAGGCGGACGGTCATGGAGGACGCTGACAGCATCGTAACACGCAATGAGCAAACGAGTCGGTTCCTTGACCGATTCCTTTTCTGCACGAACCAGCCATTCAGCATCGTTGACAACAAATACTTCCTTCGTGGATGCCATACAAGAGGGATGAGGCGCGGACGAAGCGGTTGGATGGTCATTACGGAAGAACGAAGGTGGGCGTGCACGCCATGATGAAGAAGTGGCAGCGCACCGGTTGCATGCTGCAGATGGATGGCTGGTGCGACAGGCGGAACCGGCCGTACATTAATGTGATGGTGTCATCCCCCATCGGAACGGTATTCTGGAAGACCACATGCATGGATGGGAAGGACAAGGATGCGGCAGCGTACTTCCGGATATTGGATGGGGTTATCAAGGAGATCGACGAGGAGGCGGTGGTGGGCGTTGTGATGGACAACGCTAGAGTGTGCGTCAAGGCCGGCAAGATGGTGGAGGCAGCCTACCCACGCATGTTTCGCGTGGGGTGCACTGCACATGCCCTCGATTTGGCACTCGAGGACATGTACAAGGAACTGGAGTGGTTGCGCAAAGCTGTGGATGCAGGGTTGAAAGTGGGCAAGTTCTTCCACAACGTGGACAAGGCAAGGGCGTTGTTCCTCGTGTACAGTCCGAAGTCCAAGTTGAAGCGGTCGGGGGTGACCCGTTTCGCAACCAACCACGAGATGCTAGCTTCCTTGAAGAAGACCAAGAACCCGCTGAAGAATTGTGTTGATGACGCTGCGTGGGTGGAGAAGATGGTCAGGACGGACCAGCTCCCTGCGTTCCACGAGGTGATGGCCATTGTGTTGGGAAAGGACGACTTCTGGCTGATGGTCGACAAGGTGCTGGCGGTGATGGGGCCAGTAGTGACGCTGCTTCGTCTCGTTGATGCGCCGGGGCCGTCCATGTCGAAGGTGTATTTCAAGATGGACTCGCTCGTCGCACAGATGCGCGAGCTTGATTGCTTCACGGCGGGCGAGAAGGCCGAAATCGAGGACATCTTGATGCGGAGATGGGCATTCATGACCAGCGAGCTGCATTGCATTGCTGCGTTCCTCGATTCGGAGCACCGTCACACGAATGCCTTGCGAGATCCTGAGGTGCGCGCCGGATTCAACATTTGGCTTCTGTCGAGGGCGCCGGACGACCAGCAGACACGTAACGAGCTCAGCCACCAGGTTGACATGTGGGTTAACCTGGACGGGTCGTTCAAATCACAAGAAGCTGCGGAAGCAACACGTGTGCAGCCCGCGGCTCTGTGGTGGGAGGCTTACTGCGGGAAGTTGGACCTGCTCCAGCCACAAGCAGTCAAGTTGTTGGGCCAGGCAAGCTCCTCCGCCGCATGCGAGCGGAATTGGAGCTTGCACGAGCTTATTTTCGGCCGCAGGCGTACGAAGTTGCTGCCGGAGAGGCTGGGCAAGTTGGTGTACAGCAGCTGGAACACCCAGCTGTCGCGGGCGGCCTTGCGGGGAGAAGGGGGAGATGTGCACATTCCATGGGAGGACGACACGCCGTTACAACACATGGATAGCAACGGCCATTGATCCCGCTGCTCTTGCCGCCGATGCCGATGTGTTGGCAGAAGATGTGGAGGTGGGTGAAGAGGACGGTTCGGAGCCATTGATGCGGACGTGGCAGCGAAATGATGTCGCAGATGACGAGGAATGCAACGAGGAGGACATGGCTCTGCTGGGTTCGTTGGAGAGGGAATGGCACGAGTGCACGAAACCCAGCCGTCGCAGAAAGCAAGACCTGCGGAGAAGATCTGGCAGCTCGCTGCCCCCCCCTTCAGTTGTGTACACAGAGGCGGATCGGGCGGCTGCACTCAAGGCACGACTGGCAGGCACTTGGGTGGAACGTCGACGGGAGTCAACCACCAGGGAAAAGCGTGTGAGGAAAAGAGCACGAGCGGCGGGCGGGGCGGGAGGGGCTGAAGCTGAAGTGTGCGTGACCCAGCCAAAGAAGAAGAGGGGTCGACCATCGTCGGCTGAAGCTGCAGCAAAGAAGGCTGAGATGGCAGCAGCCAGGGCTGCTAAAGCAGCAGAAAAAGCGGCCGCAACGAAAGTCGCGGCCGACAAGGCCCGAAAAAAAAAAAAAAGGTCGCCGCCGTCGATGTGATTGAGGACGACCCATTAGGGGACGATGAGTCCTCGTCCAGCTCGTCCGAAGACACGGATGAGTCCTCGTCCAGCTCGTCCGAAGACACGGATGAGTCCTCGTCCGGCTCGTCCGATGAACACTGTTTGCAGGAGGGGGGAGCGGAGGGGGAGGACATGGAGGGATCCGAGGGCGGGTCCGAAAAAAGCAATGGTGAAGAAACCGGGGATGAATGGGCAACGGTGTAGGACGGTGGCTGACCGTACGCGGAGTGTAATAGTTTTGGATTCAGCCTACTGTCGGAATTCTCTTTGCTGAAGTTTGTTTCTGAGTTTTTTTTGAAGTTATTTCCTTTTTTGTGCTTTAATAACTTGCAAACGACTATTGGCCCGATTATGAACTGTTTTTGAAGTTTTTTTGAAGCTAGTTTGTTTCCGGCACATTGTCCAACGATGTCTTTTTTAACTGCTGTCAGTTTGCAAAGGTCTTGTCTTGCCGCTCGTCCAATGCTTACAGTGATCTGCTGGTGCTATCCCCATCATTGTCTGTTGATTGTTGTGCATGTTATCATTGTTATGACATGTTGCTGTCTGCTTCGTCGCTGTTAATGAATGACACCTGCAGGTAAGTTCTTTTCCGACACCCTCTGTTTTCGAATTGTGTTCTGCTGCTTTCGAATTGTGTTACTGCAGCTGTTTCTGACACCCTCTGTTTTCGAATTGTGTTCCGACATTTCTACAACAAAAAATTGCCTGGACAACATAGTGGTTGTTAAAGAAAAAGAAAAACAGAGCCTGCCAAGTTGTGCCCAGTTCAATATATGCAGCAATTAAGCAACCATACAATGCAAAAACATGTATACACAAACGATTGTTCATCCGGTGTTGTGAACATTTTAACTTTATCGTCGACGTCCATATAAAGAATGTAGAAGAAATAGCACCATGTCAAAGTCAGCTTCTGTCGACAGAAATTGCTACAATGCTTCCCGATGACAGTCCAAATTGCATGTCCTATATCCCACCTTGCCCCCCTCATCCCGTCACGGGGGACCTCACCCCCCCTTCCTCTCTCTCTCTCTCTCTCTCTCTCTCTCTCTCTCTCTCTCTCTCNTCTCTCTCTCTCTCTCTCTCTCTCTCTCTCTCTCTCTCTCTCTCTCTCTCACACACACACACACACACACACACATACACACACACACACACACATCCTCACACACACACAATCATATTTCTTTAATTATTATAGTAATAATCATTATTACTAAATTCTGCTGGGTTTCCCATACGATGTCAGTAGGCGATAGTCCACTTTGTCCATTGTTGCATCCATGGGTTCCTGTGTTGCTAGGTATCTTGCTCTGCTGGTCTCCCACCTGCCCACCTGCCCGCCTTGTTCCATTGCTGCTGACTGTGCTGCCTTGCTGCTCGTCGTGCTGCCCTTCTGCTTGCCTTGCCTCAATGCCTTGCAGCTGCCTTTCTGCCTCTTGCTTTCAAATTGCTGCCTCGAAGCCTTGTTGCCCCCCTGTCCTGCCACTAGTACTATTACGCCTCTCCTAAGAGTTTCCTCAATGTTGTTATCTACTTGCTATCTGGTTCTTGCTTTTCTCGTGGTTTTATCTAAGCACCGAATTCCACTACCTTTAAATGTGGCAAATAGCTGGTGCCTTTCCGTAAGGAGTGTCTGCAACACTATTAGGGGGGTGGGGGGTCTGTCTTTCAGATGCCTGTGTCTCTGTGTTTTGGGCTGGTGATGGACATTCGTCGGGTGGTTCTCGTGTTTGTTGTGTGAGCCTATAGTCTGCTGGCCTTTTGTAGCATGCTGGCACCTGTATGTGACGTGCCAACTTCTGTGATTGAACGAACTTCTGAAGCCTTGTGTTCTGCTACTCTTTTCTTTTCGGCCATTAACGGGCTTTGGGGAACCTTCTTTTTGGCAGACGGGTAATGCATGGAATCAACGGCCTCCGAGGCCTCCCCACTTTCGAAGTATTTTTGTTTTCTCGGGATTTTCGGAATTTTTCTTTGTTTTTCTTCAAGGTCTATGAATTTACGTAGGAATTACGCGCGCCTTAGCGAGCGCGCTAGCAATTTTGTTCGGCAGTTAGGAATTCCGGAATTTGTGGGCTTACTTTTCACCGGCGTGTCCTTTCTTGCATACGAGTCTCCCCAAACCTGTCTCCGAAAGCTCGATGAACTTTCTGAAAAGATGCGGATAGGCATCGGACTTCGCGCGTCTAACTCTGCATGCGGATATTGCTTTTGAATTTTTCAAATCTTGAACTAGTTTTAGAGCTGGATTGGACAGAGCGTAACTGTTTCAGTGCCCTTCTTGAACTAGTTTTAGAGCTGGATAGGACTTCGCGCGTCTAATTCCGCACGCAGCTCATGACACTCATCCGTGGACCGAGATAGTGTACTAGATGATAGGAATTCACCGGGCCACCCCTCACAAATCGACAGGATTCACCCTCTTAAAGTTGCGGACCAATAGTATCCCCTGCGTCATCAACCGAGACATCTCGGAAAGTGCCGAGCCACGGGGAAAGGATAAGCGGGCGACGAGCGTCCTTTAAGGCTAAGGCCAAATGGTACGCCGAAATATGGAAAAGGCAGTCCCTAGATTGGCCCGTAAAAGACAAAAGATGACCGAATTGGCCCATGGTAGGCAGGTCCATAGTTACGAGGCCCGAAACGGGAATGCGGGCCCGCAAATCCAATATAAATTGGGGGACCTGGTCCAGTTACGTTAATGTGCACGCGACCGGACACTCGCTCCCAAGTTTTCTGGTTGTTTCCTTGTAGTCGAGCTAGGGCCTAATGGGGTGGATACGGTGCGCATCGCTCCTGAAAGGAGCGCCAACCATAGCCCCCTTCCTATCGTCCTCCATATCTCTTATCTTCGTCCTCTTCCCTCCCCTGATCCTCTTGCTCCTTCCTCGTCTCCTTCCGCACCTGACATGGATCTTGTCCTTCCTTCTTCTTCCTCATCTGATACCCTTTGCTCGCAGCCATCGCCATGAGTTTCGCACTTGAGCCTACCATCTCCGCTCGACTTCTTCAGCCTCGACCATCCCTGCAGTTTCGCCAAGTGGTTCATCCGCGACTCAGTCCCTATCTACTACGATTCGCGCAGTTATTCAGCCGGCAAGCAAGGTATGGAGCAATGGAAGTGACGATCTCGACGGATCACGGTTCGGTGGTGATCCCGATGGAAGAATCGGCGTTTCTGCATTTTTCTGTGCCAGGGCAAAGTGACGTGGCAGCGGTTATAGTGTTCAGTGGAAATTTGTGCAGCCTCGGCCCTAAAAGGCGCGGCGACGTGATTGGGAATCTCTACGAGTGGGGGCGTGAACTGGTGACAGACTAGCAGCAGTGATTCGCTAGGCCAGGCGACCAGGTAGTGGGCACAGAGTGTATCGACACCTTCTCGCTGCGATCCAGTACCTCAGATCCGCCGGTCCCACTGCTTCCTTCTCTTTGGCCTTTTCACCTTGAGCTCCTCGCCGATGAATCGCCTCTCTACCTTCTCTAGCCATCCTGGGCCGATCCTTCGTCAGATAGCCATCTCTCCCTTTCGTCCTCGATATCTTTGTGATTGGGTTGGACTTGTGGCCACAAGCTTCTGTTTACTCTCGGTGAAGTCACATTGGGCGCGCTATTATGAGAATCGTGAGGTAGTCTTTCCGGACGAGATTACTCTACTACTAGCTCAAGTGTGGCCATCTGATACAACTGGGCTGCAGGTGCGGCTCTTGTTTGGTGAAGTGGCTTGGCGAGGAAGAGCGACCATTGCCAACAAAATATTTGTCTTCTTGGCGTAGATCGTCGACAATCTGCCTCTTAGTATCATCTCTTTCAATCCCAGTGATCCGAGCCAAACGGAGCCAGTAACCTTGGGGCGGATGCTAGCACCGACGGATATCTGGACTAGCTGCACGAAGGACATCAGCCACTTCCTGGCCCAACACGACCCAACCGAGTAGAACTTTCTGGACTTGGACGACGTCTCCCCCGACAACTTTAATGATTCGGGAAGACTTCTGTACCGCTCACAAAGACAACGGGGAAATGCAATCTAACGACGATCCCCAACCCATAGCTCTCCCTGAACAGTAAGAAGAACAAGAAGAGGAAGCCGAGGCCGAGTCCATAGCTGAAGAGGACGATGACGAAGAAGAAGCAGAGAGAGAAGAAGAAGCAAAGAGTGAGGACGAACCATCTACAAAAGAAGAAGAGGAGAAAATCGTTGCCAAGATCAGCGGACGTTATTATTTTCCACCCGAGAAGAGGTGCTCTGGATTTGTAGGCACTGGCTTTGTCATTATCGATACTCACTTCCCTCCATACTTAATTTCCTTTTAACGAGTTTATCGTCATCCCGTGGGCAGCAGTAGCTCCCCAATGGCCCAACACTTTGTGTAGCGATTGTCGTTGCGCAAAGCGTTATCGGAAAAGGGAGTTCCACTACCGAACATGTGACAAAGACGAACACAAGGAATGAGCAACCCGATTAAGGCCATCCACGTCGGATTCCAAGCTCTGTAATGAGCGGGATCGGGATCTGATTCGAAAACGAGATCCCACGTACTACGTACCTTCGCCTTTCACTCTAAAAGATTGTTAGTAACCCGTGCGGAGGTTCAACGATACTTTTTGGATTGAATGGGTGTTTGAAAATTACGCATGTCTGTTCCCTTCTCGCGCGACAATGCCCATTTCTCACTAAACCCAAACCAAGCGGGGGACTTCAGTTTCGTCTGTGTCCCCACACTCAATTTCCCAAAAATCCTTGGCACACCCCATTTTGTTGTTTTTCAGGGCGTATTCCACACAACTTATCACAATGACCGAAAGGCAGCACAGGGCGTGAGGTTGAACGTCGCACGGAACATAGGATTCGTGAAAACCTAACAAAACAAATTGTTAGGTTTGCACGAAATCTATTCAAGATTATGATAGTACGTTTTTTAGGTCTCCTCCAGGAATAAAATTTTACGTGAAGTGAAACATCCGGAAAAAAAAAACAGAAAATTAAATTTTCAGAACTACTGGAGGGGGCGAGGAAAAAAACGGTTTTTTT